ATATATGTGTGTGTGTGTGTAACGTGTATGTGTATGTTCGTTAGTTTACACATTTTCTTTCATGTTTATATACATATGTATATATGCATAATTAGTTCACTCATTTTATGCATACCGTCTAGTAGTCCGTCAAAGTACAGCGGCTGCTCATCGAAGTCGACAGATATGTCTTCCGTGAGAATAAAAGGTCGTAACAGCTCACGCGACTGCCGTCGTTCGAGGGCCATGCACGCCAGAGAGATCTTTGATTGACAGCTATCTAGATCTGACACTATATCTTCACTCGCAGATAGTGTGGCTATCGAGGATCCTATATCGGTGCATACGCTTGAAGATAATACAGGTTGTGTATCATTGAGGGATACGCCTTCTTTAGTCCAGTCCCCGACCTGAGCTACTGCGCACACTGCTGCAGACATATCAGTACTGTGTGCAGATTCCATACTACAGCCATTTTTATCACCTTTAGTATGGTTATCTATATCAGCCATATTTACATAGCTATTCCCCTCTGTTTTTGCCAAATTCTGTACATCAACCATATTGTATGTATCTTTGGTACCCTTTGCAATCCTATTCGGGCTGGCACGATTTCTTGTAAAAGTGTCCAGGCACTCTAGTTACCAACTAAAGCACAGGAATGTCAACATACAGCCTTATTGCATGTATGTTTCACGGTTCGAATGTGTGTACTAAAACTGCTGCTAAATATCGTATAATTAAACTTGAATAGTGCTAAGGTGTCCATATTGCATTCACATTATCAGTCCATATCCATAGCCTCTTTTACACTCTTCATTGTGATAGAAATGTGAACACTCTACAGAGTCACGCAGACCATTCACCACTGACATCATATGAAAATTATAAGATTCAAAGAATTTTTGTTTAGTTTCGATTTTTTTTTTGTAATTTAAAAAGTATTTTATGGTTTGTTGCGTGTTTGTTCTATTTCATATTTATTGGCATTTGGCACCGCCAACTGTCTTATGGAAAAAAAAAACAGGATGGTTAAATGAAGATTTCCACGAAAAATAAAATCATTTGTACCAGTTTCTAGTACAAAATTATTTAATGTACTGACTTAAGTCAAAATGAGTAGTGCAAAAAATGTGACGAGTCTTTTTTGCAGCATTTTTAGAGACACCCAATGAAACAAAGTACAAATTTAGAAGTATACATTTATATACATTTATTATACTATATGTACTATGAAAATTTGTAACAGCTTCTAGTATGGCTTCTATTTTTAATAGCAAATAACAACAAATAAATCACCCCTGTGATTACACGCCTTCAGTCCCAACGGCTTTCCAGCCGTGATTTATATGTATTGATGTTTTACTATGTATTTACAGAATTAACAGGTAATTGCTTCTCACTGTCATTCATTCTGGAACTCTACCCCGCATAACCTGTATAGCCGCCGTAGTCTTTCTGCTACAAGTTTTGGCCATAAGCCCAGGCTCCTTGCACATCAGACAAAACCGCTGTTTCTTTACAGGTAACCTTGATGTTCTCCTTTTGGCAGGACGACCTTTACCCATTTTGATATTGAACGTTATCAAATAATTATCTTGCAATATATTTTTTACTATCAAAAGCGGCATAATCGTCGCATATCAATGCCAGTATACATGCATATGCGTATGTATAT